AGGTTAGTGTTCTTTTTCTCTTTCTCTCTCTCCTCAGTAGGATCGTTCTGTCACGAGGAAATTAATGATGACACGTGCACCTGTTTTGCGATCCTATAACCCGGGACTCGTGCAAATTGACGTAACTGTAGTTCCATTGAAAGGATTTCGTACTATCGTTGATGATATGGATTGTACGTTGAACGAGATGGGAATATATGTGGATATATCGATGAAATTTTTAATTTTTAATTTAAGTCTAATGATAATGATAAATATGATAAATGATTTTTGGGTAACAAAATATTTATCGTAGTACTTGATATTTAAGAAAAGAGTAATATCAATAATATAGGGACTAAGGACAGGAGGAATTATATGGAGATAAATTATTCGAATTTACAAGAGTTAATCATATTTCTTTTTTAATTGAAACAATTACTACAACGATTATCTTCTAACATTTAACAATTATTTCTCATATCCGATAAAATAAGTATAACGATAATTCAATCCTTTAATTTTTAAGTTATTCTTAAATCGATCATATTCGATCGTTTTATAGCCTTATTAAAACACATGGGTCCATAAATAAAGAGATATTATACAAGCTATTGTTTCACGTTGCGGCGTGTTATTTAAAAATATCAAATGAATCATCGACCCTCGATTAATAAAAGCATATAATATAATCGCCAAATTGAGAAGGATCTCGTACGATTTAAAATTAAATTTAACAGCGATGATCGGAGTCGGCCATTGATGCGGGCGCATTAATAATAAAATAGATGACACATCGGTACCGCGGCTGACGAAATTATTTCAGCGTAACCGAGAATTCCGGCACAATGCCAAAACGAACGCGAAAATATATTGTGCCGAGTCCGGCACAATTGTATCGAACACGCCGCGTGTCATAGATAATAGAGTGCGAGATAGAGGCACTTAGACTTAGGTGTGTTCCTCTTATTATTTGTCAAAGTGTCAGAATATATGAAGTGATATGTGTGTATTTTGCTATTTGTAATTACATATATTTTTCTTTTAGTTGCATATATATTTCTTTTTATTGTTTTGTTTCTTTCTTTTTTTTTGATATCGTGAGTGAGAGGCTATTAAGGAAAGCACACGAAAGGTAATGAATTTTTGAAAAAGTTTTATATATTTTTTTTCCAGGCAGTTAAGTTATTTGTTATTCTTATTTTAATTCAATTTTATTTTACTTTTTATGGAATTAATTTTTATTTGTTGTTTTAACTTGTTGTTAATCTTTAAATAATCTTATTTGATATAGATAATATTCTTAGTTTAATTTAGTATAATGATACTTAAAGTATTTTGATCATTCTTATTTTATTTATTGCTTCATTTCACTAGAAATTTACGTGGAATTTCTGCTTGGAATTTCCGTTTTAGAAAACCACTTTTCTAATATTTAGATCTAAATATAATTCCTATCTGTATTTCTTAATTTTGAATCAAGTTTCGTAACATAGAATCTCTTTGTTTTATTTCTAAGTGAGATCTAAATCTTCTTAATATAACCACAATAGATCAAAAAATTAAAGAAATGATGTAAACGTTATTTAAAGTAAGAAATTTATTAAACGATCAGAATCAAAAGGAATAAGATATATAACGGAATTACTTGTTTTCGATAATTTATATCCTAACATTTTTTTCAATTATACATCACGTATAATTATTCAAAAACTGATAAAATGGATTCTTCGCATCTGTTCTTCAACGTCTATATCCAGAACAGAAACAAATTCACAAAGTAGAAAAAAATCATAGAAAAAATAGAAAATAAAAATCAAAATAGAAAATAATTATTTTCGATCGGGTTTTCCAGTTTAGAGGGAAAGCTTTGTAAATACTCGACCAGCCCACTCGTGTTTGGCCTTTCTAAAAGGGCTAAACACCTCGTTATGTCCCGCAAGCGAAACCTGTCCAAGCGGCCTGCGCCAGGGACGGGCTGTCGGTCATTAAGATCGCACGCTTAATTCGAAAAATCGACTGCCGAGTCCGATCTCAGCAATCTGGAAACCGGTTGCTCGAACCCTTTTCTAACGTCGAACTGGTCTTCTGATGAGTGGCAAAAGGAGGAGAATAATTGGAATTGGAATTGTAAATCACAAAAGTAAATTCATTTTTATCTTTATTTCTCATAGAGAATTTTGAATAGATAGATTGGTATTAATTATTTGAATTATTTTCGAAATATTACGTAATATTTGAATAATGAAATACTTGAATAATGAATACTTGAATAATAATTTTTGTTCAAAGTTAAATTTTTATACAAAGTTAGTATATTGGAATAATTATATTTAGCGATTATTCGTTTGCTACGAATAAAGATAAAGACACAAGATTATTAAAGAAAACTGGACGTACGAACAAATCCAATCTAATCTTCTTTTAGATTAACTGTGACTCATCGATTACACGAAAGCTCGAAATACCTCGTGTCAAATATTTCATTCAGCTAGTAAATTCAAAGAAAGTTATTTCAATTATTCCACCTACCACAATTCTAAAATTCAAAATACGCGTCGAATATTTCACTCGACCAATCATTTCAATTATCCCACACACCTTCCATGTTAACCTAACCTCCAAAACACAATCTTTCGATCGATCGATACAAAAACCTACTCAAACTGTGCCAAATATTTCCTGTGCCACGAGAGCTTCAAATCGAAAGATCGATCGCGCGACTGTTTTTCAATCGTTCAACATCGGGGAGAATTAGAAACTGGTCCAGCAAACGCTCGACCAGTTCGCCAAGTCGTGATTCAGCGGAGGCGGCGGGGCGCTCAAGAGTGGTGGCGACACGTGCTCCTTGTCGGTGGTATTCCAGTGAATCAACAAGTGTCGTGGCTCCTCTCTAG